TTTCTTTTCTGCTTTTTAGGGTGGTTCCCTCATAACGGATGTCATGACGGTTGGTCTCAAGGGCTGAATGCGTAGTCGCAGTCTATTGGACCATGGCGGTAGCAACTGGGCGGCCCGTATGACAACCACGCTCGTGACGCTTCATATTGCTCCTTACGCTGAAGGCCTTTCCGCAGCCTGCATGCGTGCAGCGGAAAGGCTTCTCACCGGTGTGGCTGTGAGAATGGATGCGGAGGCTCGAGGGCCGCGAGAAGGCCTTGTGGCAGGTCCGGCAAATGTAGCGATCATGGTTCTGCTGGTAAGGCGTGGAACTGGACGGGGGGAAGTAGTGGTGGTGTTGCCAGGCGGGGGTGACAGGAGAAATCATCTGCTGATGAGCCGGCGAGGGAAGGGGTGCCGCGGATGCTGGAGGGACGGTGCCTGCGTTCTGGAAGGTGCTTGGCGCAGGGTTTCTTTGGTAGTAACCGGCAGTTGATGGTGTAGAGGGCTCGATGGGAGAAGAGTAGGATGCCACACTGGGAGCGGGGGAAGCATATGGAGCTCCGGGAGCATGCTGAACGGACCCTTGACTCGAGATGGAGGATCGATCTATCGGACTAGGAAGGCCAATTGGCGCTTGGGAATACGTTTCGGTGGTTTTGATCACAGCGCTGGTGCTCGTAGCAGAGACAGATGATGCCGAGGGAGAATGGCGGTTGAAGCCCGAGCCAGGACGCAGTGGCGGCGTTGGTGGCATGGCGTGTGGTGTGATCGAGTCATATGTCTGCGATTGAGGCCGGGGATCTGAATCCCTGTGCGCTGACAGACTAGTCCTTTGGCGTTCTGTAAACTGGGAGTCAGTCATACTGGGTTCTGTGATGAGATATGAAACGGTGAAAGATCATACTTGCTGCGTGTGCAGCGGCACCGTCTGCGCCCTCGAGCAGAATCGAGATGGAAGGAAGCGAGCACTTGGGCTGGTCATCGACTGGAGGGGACAGTGGTGGCTGAGGGGTACGAGAGTAAGATGTCGTGTGTATCGGTACAGTGAAGTAAGAGCCCGTAGATTGATCAGAGAGGCGCTTGTATAGGCTGGCTTGTACAGCAGAAGGACTCTGAGTCCATCTTGACTTGAAGGTCGGAACTGTATCCAATTCAGAAGGCGAGATGAGGCTTGCGACATCCATGGTGTTTGCGCGGAGGTATGAAGCGGCCGACACGATGGTAAGTTCCTCAAGGGTATGCGCAGTGAGATGGTGAGAGTGAAGAAGAGGTGGAAAGATGGCTACAGTGGAACCATATATGAAGGTTGAGCGAGTAGTGAACTACTTGAAGCCCAGAGCCAATCCAGATTGTCTCCTCTTTAGGTGGGGACGTGTCTGGGAACAGGGGGATAGAATGGGGTCTATACTTTATAGACGACGAGAGATTTGCTGGATAAGGTGGGGGAAGAAAGTCTAAGGCAAAATATAATTATAGCTTGGTTGTTGGTACTACTTGGTAGAGATGATGCACCGTAACTCCGTCTGGCAGGACGAGTGGAGGTCAAAATTCAAGACTGATATGGACGAAGCCGAATGAGCAGACAGGAGACACTGACATGAACCTGTTCCTTAATTACAATGATGATAAGAGTCAGTGCTATTATTTCATTTTCTATTTTCTTCTCTATTTTATTTAATTTTGCTTTGCTCTGGAATGGGTACAAATAGCAGGGGGAAAATAAGGAATAAAAAATAGAAAAATAAAAAAAATAAAATAAAAGATTGTTACCTTAGGCTTGTTTGATCTGGTACTGGCGATCGTGTATTGCGTGGTAATAGACATGTAAAACGAATTTTCCCGAGCCTGCAGGGCAGTAACGTAAGTATTTTGCTGTATTTTCCTTTCGGTTTGCCTCGACAGGGGGGCTGATACCTCCGTCCCAAAGCTTAATTAATGAGCACCAGGAGCCTGGGTAAGAGCTCTAGGTGGTAAGATTATTATTTATGTTTGCTTTTTCTGACCCAATAATGCATACCTACTCCGTACATGGAGTCGTGGTCTCGTACCCGGCGTAAAAAACTCTGTATGGCTAGTACGCGGGCGGACAGATGATGTGCGATTAGTTTGTAATGTTTTGGGTAGGCTCGACGAGAGCTAAAAAAACGTGCGCCTCCCGGTCCACTGTTCCAGAGACCACCATACCCCGGCTAATTTGGGGAAGTTCATTGGTTTGTTCCAGCTTGCTATTTCACCTCCAACGGGGTCTTACCTTTGCGTCAAAGTGCTCTGATCAACCTCCTGCATGCTGGAATCTCCCTGTCGTGCTAACCATGTTATAAAAGCCATGGTCGAGGGAACTGTTGTAAATCATTTCTGCTTCTAGCGAAGCAGTCACCAGTAGGCGTGACCTTGACACCCTAATCCTCCTGGTGTACTGAGTTGTGTACGGAGAACGGAGTAGTTGGGGCTCGGCTACAGTAGGTCTGGCGCTAGTGCAGATCCAAGAACACTCCAGCCTCAGTCAACTCATGGAGATTCGAATCATCGATCGTCATTTTACTCTGGGAGTAAATCATGGCAAATCCTATTCATCCGCAGTAGGAGGCAGGAGACTAGCATTGTAAACGGTACACGGCCCATACAACTTACGTATTGCCGCCATGGACTCGCCAGCCGATCCCTCCAAGTGGATCCAGGCGCAAGAGTGTTTTACCTGTCACAACGATCCCATGCCCCATAAACGGCTGATCGTTGCCGCACGATCACGCGTTGCTGAGAACACTGATCTCATGTCCTAATTTCCAATCATAAAAACTGATAAATTATCATCGTAATCGACTGTAGATCCTTTCGTCTGGGCTGTCGATGGACATGCTCTAGCTTGGCGATTCGCTCCTGAGGTTGTGAAGATACCAGCTGTGTTGGGATTAGCCTTCGGGCTCGCCGTAGAGATTACTGTTTCAACTTTCGAATTTTGGGTTATGCTTGGATCACCAGTTTGATGATCCTCCAACTGCTGAGACAGGTGTTTGTTCTTTTAAATTCTCTTCTTGATTTATCATTGATCTAATTGTAAGTCAGAGTCTGTCTAAGAGAAGGAAACCGGAATAAGCAGGCAGAACAAAGCATAAATTGAACATGAAAAAATTAAAAGATGAAAAAAAATAAAAATAATAATAATAAAACCAAAGCGACTCAGGAGACGTTCTTCCCAGATAGGAAATATATCCGTTCTATGCCCACTATCAACCTGGATGGTCCCATCATCAACCATGTCCTTGGGGGTGGATGACGGAGAGTCACAGCACGATGGGAGAACTGGGTCTAAGCCGGAAACAGTCTAGCCCCAGACACCCAGAAGGGAATTTCTGAACGCTTTCTCCTCCTTTGAATACTTCGCTTGGGGGCTAAGGACCTAAGGGACTTAGTGTCTTGACGGAACCGGAGATTATTGTGGCGCTGGCAACCAACTAAAATCCCAGATGATCTCAAGCGAAATTTGGACGAGCGTCAATCAGGATGTGCTAAGGTACTAACCTGGAAAAGGTGGGTCAGTGAGGTAGCTACGTAACTACGTATCCGAGAACAAACTCATATGGTTGTATCCCCTATTCTTTTTGCTTCTTTTTTCCAAGGGGGCTGGAGGGTGATGAGATGGCTCTGTTCCTTCAGCACTGTCCAACAAAAGGAAAAAGAAAAAAAAAAAAGAAAGAAATGAGACATGGCAGGACCGGAGATAGGCCACCTCCTTGAGTGTTGCATCATTGATCGAACCTGAGGGGATCCTGATCGCCCATGCAGGGGAACCAGCTTCGATAGGTCATACGCACAAACAGTAACAGTTGTCACTACTGCTTGGATGAGTCGTCAGTGAAGATGCATACCATCTACGGCTGATAGAGGAGAAGTACATGCCGGACTTGAAAGTTTCCCCGATCTGCTTCCCGTACACAGATGCCGACCGATCAGAATGAAAGCCTCCTCCAATTCCAGACACTGGGTTGGCCACCACCAGAGGTTAAGATGTGTCATGTGCTTGTTCTTTCTAGAGAAAGTAATTTCTCTCGTTTTGAATTCACCATGAAAATATCATTGACGTCCATGGTCCATAACAAACAGTATTAAGAGAGTTCTCTGGATCCATGTCTTGGCTCAATCGATTCCATGTGCACGAGATGCCTCGGCCGCCGAGGACAAACCAACTACCAAAAAGGGTTACGGAGACGACCTGCCTTGTTACTAGTAACTTAGCGGAAGATCATCACTCTGTCAATCTGTTCTGGAACCATGAAGATCTTCTGGGATGACAGAGTGCGGACTATGGCGAACAGAGAACAGAGGATAATGGACTCAGGTTGTGCCAGTCTCCAGAAGTCCAGAGATTGCATAATTTGGTGTTCAAAAGTCAAAACTCATCTTCATCTTTTATGCAGTAGTCTTCCGATTGTGACCATTTACTGAGGGGAATGCTTCCATGATCTGCCCATATCGCGTGTGAGTATGTGAGATACCGTACCCCCTGCACCCTTATATGCAGCTCAGACTAATCCAGTTATGTTCCCGTTGGTCCATAGCTGTGTTGTCAATCAGTCTGAGTTAGTTGCTATTATCATTCTCACTGATAAGTAGTTATATAGTATTCGCATACTATTGGTGCATAACAATAGTGAACATAACTATTGGATGTCTCAAATGACTGCCCAGCGTCCATTCCCTGCTGAAGCCGAGGATCATCTGTCGGAAAGCGAGCTCTGGATAGTTACAACTTCATTTCATGTTCCTCATAGAAGCACCACCCAGTTCCATACTTCAACTCTAAAGAAACAATTTCGCTAAATCGTCTCGTGGAATATCTAGAAGCTATGCCTCCTCGGCCAGTGAGTTTAGCGTCCTCGGGAGAATATTTCCTTCTGGGGAACGGAATTCCATTCTTTTCGAGAATGTCTTGAATTTTAATCTACCCTCTACAATAATGGACTATCTATCAATCCTCAACCGGAGATTGTCCCGGCAGAGTCGGCTCATAGATAGTACCGAAGGTCCTATTATTATTCGGGCCAACTTGAACTTTGATCACTTCATTCCATAGAATTTCTATAGAATTCCTATCCCTGGTCCTTGGTATTGGAAGCCATAGATACCTACGTAGTCTAACCTGTCTAGGACCTTTGTTACACTACCCGGGATTGCCACGCGATCCATGGACCCGGAAATTGCATACCCTAGCGAGACCTCAATCAAGTGAGCTCATATCTACTCCGTACCATAACAAAAATAAAACCACTCTGGTTCATGGTCGCGTGAAGGTTAGAAGTAAGCGAATCTACCGTATTTTCTGCCCTCCTTCATGCCGGTACGCTGTGTCAGGACCGGTTTTTTCTGACCTTGGTTCAAAAAGTTCCAGAACATAATGGACAAGCCGAAAGAGCTAGTAGGTACCGCAGAATAGAAGAATCATACCGTATTGGACTGCTTCATGGAGACTGAGCTTTGATCAATGAGTGTGAACTAGGGCTTCGCTTCGCGATCCGAGGGGATACGTAACTAATGAGGTCAACGATGATTGGTCATATTCCAAGACATGCCCACGGAAGGATCCTGTATTCTGCACCATTACAGAGATCCTCTGCTCGTACCTAAGTAATTAATTCATACAGTGACACAAAGTCTCGACTTGCAATTAGTTTATGGAGCTATGAACCTCGCTTAGATCATTGCGATGGGTCCTTACTCCTGACAAAGACACATTCATCGACGAAAGAGGAAGGGGAAACAGATATCAGGATGGACACTGGAGATACTACTCCATTAACTCCGCAGCCGTTCCTGACACTAAGACATCAAATAATAACAAAGTCTACAAAGTCCCTCTGCATTTGCCTGTCTGACACCAGCGATGCTAATAGAGAGAAAACAAGTCCGAAGCAGGAAGGGGTAAAAAAGACGTCACTACCATTGCCATCTGCAACGCATCCAGGAGCTACTGTGATATCCCGCCCTTGCAACTGGATGTCAAAGGTACGAGCCAAGATTAGAACAGATTGACCGTTGTGTTAGCCATGATAGTGCTGCGCTGGCGCATTACAAAGTTTCTTGTTCGGCTGAAAAATGATGCCGCCAGAAGTAAGGGGGATCACACAGGTGGAGTCCTCTAAGAGTGGCATTCTTCTAAGTCAAGCGGAAAAAGGAGTAATCCGCCTGG